AACGCTTTTATTCACAGTCAACGGATGTATTGAAATGAACAATATTAAAGTTTCAATTGAATGAAATAATAGGTAGCTCATTCGTAGTTATGTATTTATCATAATATTTGTCTCCAATCAGCGTTGCCCGGACAAAAATTTGTTTTTGTTTAAATGCATAAGCATTTATTATAAATACTATACAGTATATTTTATAATCAATGACATAATTTTTATTATTAATCCTAAGTCCGGGAACTATAACAATTGTTTCTGCAATTAGCGAATAAAATACAATGATTTATCATTCTCTAATTACTATTATATTACGATAATCTGCATGCTAAATGAAAAATTATGAATTTATATCATGCTATTGTCATTAGGATTAATATTTTTAACATCAGGTCAGTTTTGAGTAGGTTTACTAATAATATAACGCAATATTTTTTTTTTAAAGAACCTTGCTAAATTTATTATTACATTAATTATATTATTTAGATTAGTAATTTGATATCAAATTATTTATAATTTATATCATAATATTACCTTTAACTTAACATCTCAATTTTATGATATAAAAGTGCGTAAGATGTCAGGATGATAAAAGATGACAATATGAAGGCTTGAGAGCGACAATCAGACATCTTCAGAATTAGATTGTTTAAATAGACGGAGATATATTATTATAAATGAAGGTTATTTCCAAATTTTATTTTTTGGTTTTAAAATTGTAATGCAAATTCAATTTTAACAATATTTTCACTGGTGACAACGATACTACCTCTATGAATTGAAGTTGGATCTAAATATACTTTTTGTCAATTTTTAAATTAATTAATTAATTAGTTAATTTTTAAGTACCTCTTGAAAAATTATTGTCATCACATGTGTAAGTCTCCTTAGCACACTTTCTTGTTAAACGACATATTACATCTCCGTGTTGTTTAAAATATGAGGTATTACACGTTACGCGTTTTTTAATTTTTTAATTTTTTTATTCCCTGGTAGGCTTAATCCACATCGTAAACGAGAACGCGCGAATACCCGGTCAACTACAGTCCTAGTTTATACGGAAAATGTATCGAAATGTTCAATTATTGCGTATCATATTCGTCTTCTTAATCAATTTAACATAAAATAGGTAATATAATTAAATAAATATTGAATTAAACATTTAATAGATTTCAATTTATAAATTGTAATTTTTTATTTTGTTGTGCCACAGCATTCGGCCATTTCCAGTTTACTATAAAGTGTTAAATTTGTCTAATTTTCACTCGCTGAATTTATAATATCTATTATGTAAAATGGCTGAAAATAATGAATTATTCTAACTTATTCAGTATATTGTTATACTTGATATAATAATAACAGACGTTTTTTATTTATTTAAATGAATTTTAGTCTTATTGTGGATTCATTTTTGAATTCAACACTATTCTAGCACTAAGACTAAACTATATTATTGTTACTATACTTATCATTCTTATCTAACCTAATCGGCGTTTACGGCTCCTGAAGTGTTGTACAGCGGTCGAGCGCTGGACGTATGGGCACTTGCAGGGGTGCACATTGTACGCATTTGTCTACGGTCGGCTGCTGTACACCGCGGACTCGGTGCTAGCAGTGCACGAGCAGATCCGCACGCAACCGGTACAGTGGCCAGTCGAACCGGAAACGTCTCCACAACTGGTGCACCTGTTGCACCGTCTCCTTGACMAAGATCCAGATACCAGGATCACGTTACCAGCCGTCAAAAAGCATGACTGGGTGACAAGGTCGGGGGTTAAGACGCTGCCCACAGAGCGAGACAACTATTGCCAACAGCCGATTGAGGTCAGCGAAGAGGAAATGATGAACGTCATCAAGTCCATACCCAAGCTCAACACCCTGATACTGATCAAAGCTATGCTGAAGAATCATTCGTTCCTTGTGAGTATACACGCGTATTATAATTAGAATGCGAATTTATATGACTTAAAAACCAACCTGCAAATATCCGATAAAAATATATACTAAATAAATATATTATATACATTTTATATACTAAAACATAAAAAAATTAGCAAAACAACGTATTTTTGAACAATTTATTAAAACAACATATTTAATGATATGGATTGTATATTACTGGTAAAAAAAAATCATAGGTATAAAAAGAAAATTTTTATGAATTCCTAATTTAAAGTAAATTGAACAATTTCGTGATTATTTTTAAGACTTGTCAAAAAAAAAACCTTGGGTTATATTTTCAAGTTTTTTGACCGAGCGAAAATTGTTTATCAACATTAATTAAAAAACTAATTGAACTTAACTAAAAGTCGAAAATTTCACCCGCCTATAAATAGCTCAACATGAGTGAAATTATTTTGAAAATTGGAATATGGAATAATATGCTAGTGTAATAACATGCAGGATCACTTCAAAAAAATATAAATTATACGATTTACGATGTTTATTTTTAGTATATAGAGTATACACTTAAATTTTATGTCCAAATATTATCGACTGTATGTGTTTTTACAATCAATAATTTTGATTGACTTAGTATTTTTGATAAGGTTCATGAATCATGAAAGAACATACTTTTAAGATTTTAATCAGGTAGGTTTTTATATATATCAATTTATAATCATATATTACATATTTACACAACATAATTATTCTTAAGTTGTTTTCATAATTTATAATTAACAGTTAATTTTTACCTATTAATATTATAGTCGATAAACATAGGTTAATGTTGTTGTGGCCAGGGGTGCGTATAAATTTATGTCAGTGTCAGTGTGCCAATTGGCTTGAAATCGCATGCTTTCTATGTTCTATCCTACAAGTACGAGTGCTTCAATAAGTCTCAAAGCAGTCGAAGCTTCGTCCGTCGTCGTATACATACTTAAAATACCTCACAATACTTAGTTGTTTTAGAGAAAAACTGCATATTTCGTCGATTTTCATTGATTTTCGCATATTTAATATTTTTTCTACAAAAATAAATTTTTTTCCATTCTTCATCAATTTATTTTAAATAATGTTACATAACACAACGTTAATTACGCGAAAAACGTGCATCATTCGTTGTTATTTATTGTTCTTTCCTATTTTCTACTAAAAGATAAATTTGTCAACATTTAACGGTGTGATTCACATTTAATCTTATTGCGCTAGAAAAACCATACGTCAAAATACTATCTTATTGTGAATAATTTTTTATGTATTAGAGTTTTAAATAATACAATTTTTTTAAATATATGTTTTTAGAACTTTTTTCGTGTGTATTAATAAATAAATAACACATTTTTAATGGATAAATAATTTTTTTTTTTTTTTKCATATTTCACATTTTTTCATGCATATTTTATAATTTTTTCTTGCAAATTCACATACATATTTTGCTTTTTTTTGCTCCTATAATTTCCGAACCCTACTCATAGCCTTTAATTATTATTAAAATGGCATGTATAATTTTCTATAGCACATTAGATAATATTATTAATAATATTCCAGCGCATTTAAATTGGCCTTCTWTTTGTATTATATTAATTCCGATTATTTTAAAAATATTTTATTATTATTATTTACTAGGTGTAATTAAATGTTTAAGTATTATTAAGTATACTCAATTGTATGTATGCTACAATAGCTTTTAAGTGTTGAACTATAGTAACTACTAAATCGCCTATGAATAGCTAAGATAAAAATTACTTTTTAACACGTTATATTGTCATTAATTTTATTAGTCTGTGCTAGTTATTATCACGGTCACTTCATTATATTATTATTTCCATAATTATTATTGATATTATTTTTCAAGTACGCGTAGATGGTTGGCCCTACTGTACGGGGAACGATCCTCTACCACATACGTCCAACCATAGATAACTTACTTAATATAATTTATATATATATATATATATATATAGCTGCGTTGTTATCGCCGTTTCTGTTGTCTTTGACAAACCTTTTGTCCATCGACCATCGTGGTATTGCATAAAAAACCTATAGTTTATTTTACTATGAAAAAATAACTATTACTCCATGGTAAACACTTCATTACACGAACGCTGTCAGACACATCACAAACAAAAAACGCCGCTAAAACTCGAGCACTCATTGGCCTACGTAATTTTTCTTTGTCATCTGTCACATCGTCGTTGTATTAATTTGTAATTGGTTTTTGCGAGGTGCATTTTTTATTTTTTAATGCACGTCTTCCGTTTCTACAACAACAATTGATTTCGTGATTTAAAACTACAAAAACTTATGTTTGTAGTGTGCACTAGCTGTCATTCCGCCGCTTAAAAAGGTATAATATTCATGTTAATAATATTATATGATAATCGTTAATTAATATTCCTTGTACAATTATTGTTCACCTACAGTAGGAAGACATTGAGTGTAATCTTAAGTTTGTAAATTGCCTTGTACATCTTATACTTGTTCGCTTTGTACTTTTGTGATGATCATACCTAATAAGTAGGTAATAGTTAATAATCCTTAATACCTAGTAATAGAAAGGGTTTAATAACAAAAAATGTCTAAATTATATGAGTATAATTATTATAATGAGGTAGTGTTTTTTCAAATGGTTAAATAAGTTTGTCCAGTCCTGTCTCCTGGAGGAAAATTCAATAGTTTTATTTTTGTCTTTCCTGTTTTTCTCTGTTGTGACTATAGTTACTACACGATCACTTGCAGCCTATCGTCCATCGTCGTGATAATATCATCAAATATAATAAATATAATATATATATTATAATATTTATATTATAAATATAATCATCAAATATAGAATTATAGATATTTTAAATATAAGCTTCAGAAATTGTATGTTTAACAATGTCTAGACAATAATGGAATTTGTTATTCGTTGGTACATATTTTGCGTGGGTAGTGGGTTTCGGCGTGTAGTCGGTTTTTATCTGATTATTAATATATAAAAACTAGTTGTAATATAGTATAATAAAATAACATGTGTACATACGTAAAGCAAAAGAACCTCCAGTATCTACTCTTTCGAATTATACGAATTCAGCTACGATTCCTCAGACGTCTCAACTCAAAATCTCAAATGTCTAGCACTTAATAACAAAACAAAATAAAAATATGCTTAAGTAGGTAGTACAAAAGTATGYTAGCACTTCAGCCTTATTCCGCTAGTATACATTCATGCGAGTACGTTCTAGTGTTTTAAATGTTTTAATATTATAGGTATAGTACTTTAGTAACTGTTATTAAATAAAATACAAAATACTATAGTATAATACTATATATGTCGAATTAAAATATTGATATTAGTATTGAACTATATAACTTCTTTGCAAATGTCGGAAAAACATAGAATATGATATTGATAAAAATGGCTTTTTGAAAATACCGTGGAGTTTGCTAAATAAAAAATGTTATATACTCAATTTAAAACCCTATTTCACAGGTAGAAATAATAAGATATATTTCATTGATTAAACCTAAAAATATTATATTCCTTGATTATTGAATAACAAAAACTAAATTAAAAAATACTATTAATAATATTATTGATCCTATTCTATATATTTTCAATCAAATAATCTCAACTGGTGTTTACCCAAAATCATTTAAAAAATGCATTGTAATTCCTCTGGTAAAAATCTGGTGATACTCAATATTGTGGGAATTACAGACCTATTTCGCTATTTTTAACACATCAAATTTTTTTGAAAAATGCCTGCTGAAGTCCAGAATATTAGATTTTTTAAATAAACATAAATTTTTCTCTAATAATCAATTTGGATTTTTACCAAGTAAATCAACTATGGACCCTCTGCTTATTCTAAATAAATTTATTCGTGAGAACCTAGATTGTAAAAATAAAGTTATGTGCATCTTTCTTGATATTCAAAAAGCTTTTGACTCATTTAATCGTGATATTTTAATAAAAAAACTTGATTAGAGGCTCTGCATTAAACCTTTTCAAATCTTACCTAACAAATAGAACACAGGTTGTCAGATTAAATAGGGTTACTAGTTACTAGTGATCCTGTTAATATTACACATGGAGTACCACAAGAAACTGTATTGGGTCCTATCTTATTTCTTATTTACATAAATGGTCTATTAAATTTAAATGACGACTTAAACATCTCTTATTTTGCTGATGATACCGCCATATTGCTACATAGTGACAATTATAACGATTTATATAAAAAAGCGAATTCACTATTATACTGTGTTAAAATATGGTTTGATAATCATATGTTAATGCTTAGTACTTCTAAATTTAAATATATGATTTTTAAAATCAAAGAGAATTATTTAAATCATAACTTTGAGCTAAAATTACATTCTTTTGATTGTAAATTTTTCTATATAGATAACTTAAATTGTAAATGTAATACTTTGGAAAAAGTAGAAATATATAAATATCTTGGAATTACTTTATATTTTAAATTAAAGTGGTCATATCATATCAATAATTTAATCTCCAGTTTACGTAAGTTTATTTTTATTTTTAAAGACGTTAAACGCTACTTTAATATTAAGACGAAGAGAATTATTTACATTGCTTTGGTTCAATCTATTTTTAGTTATGGAATAATGTGTTGGGGCTGTGCACACACTTACACACAMCTCGAAAAACTAAAAGTCACAATAAATAGTATAATTAAATTGTTATTAATGCAAACCCAAATCTTAGAGTAAAAAGCATATTTCTAATGAACTCGATGTTCAAAACCTTGATAAAATATTTTATACCAATGTATTCTTACTATTATATGAACATAAGCATCTATTGACCAATGTAAATCGTGATAATAATACCAGATATAAACGAAATATTAATATTGTTTCTAATAGTGTTACAACTTTTGGTTCTCATTGTACTTTATTTGTACTTTATAAGTAGGATCAAATTTATGTAAAAAATTGTGTATTAATTTATTTAAATTTAAAAGTGTTAAGGAATTTAAATTTATTTTGTATAATCTTAACTTTGATATTATTTAAGCAAATCTTAACTCATATATTATTGTTACATCTTAAACCTAGCTTAATTTTAAATTTTGTTTATTCTTTCTGGCATTTTGGCAATATAACATTTATATTTTAATTTTAATCTGGACTCTACTCTCCCAATACAAGCTATGCTTATAGGAAGTGTAGCATACTGTATATTGACTTATTAGTTATTTTTAAATGTATTGTATTCTTATTTGCAAAATAAAGTATTATTATTATTATTATTAGTTACATAAAAAAAAAAAAATTATTGCTTTAAATTCCTAACTAATAACTTATAAACCCCTTTCATAATTGTATACTACATTACTGCAATGAAAAATACTAATACCTATTTACCACGTATTAGGCACGTTGATAGGTGTAAATTACCTGTTAGAATATTTAGGTGATACGATTAAGCAGTGACGTCAGCCCATCATACTGGTAGAAGTGACAGTTCACGGTACTTAAAATTTTTTAAATTACAAATATTTTGTTTGTTTGTTTTTTTTTTACCAAGATTTGTGATTTCACTGTTATCAAAATTTCAAACTTATACCGGGGATATATTATTTCAATATCAGCACCCCAACATTTTTAAATTAAAAAAGCGCCATTTATACTCGTGTTCCGTTTGTACTTTCATCATTCCCAAGATGTTGAATGTTTAACTTTAATAATATGAATTGTATCATGTTTTATAGTATAGATAATTCTATAGGTACAAGGGGTTTTCCTAAAGATTATTAAATACATATTAAATACATAAATATCAGATAAATATCCTAACTAAGTATCTACAGCTATTTATTGTTCAATAGATAAAATTGATAATGAGACCGAATGTCGATTTGACATATTACATCGCAATAGTATGTTTTTATAAGTTATAGTTTGAAGAAATTCCGCTCACCAACAAGGGCCATATTTAAACATTTCTGTGCCCCTGGGCAACTTTTTTTTTGCCCTCTTTCTCCCCAAAAAAGTCATTTCTTAAATGTAAGATATTTAACTATGATAGCTATTTTGTGACATAAATACAGAATAGCGCCCAGGCGATTTTTGAAGCTTATAATATGTTTCAATGAGTATAAACCATAATAGTGCAATCAGTACTTGTCGATTAGACTTACTTTAAAGTTATAACCTTTTAAACTTCGCGTGTTTGTGTATTCCACTCGTACGACAATCTGGTTTTTTATTATTAATTATTATTAATTAATTACTTTATTAACAGTAAAATAAATATGCACATTCCTCGCTCCGCTCAGAATCTAAAATTAAGTAAGATAAATAATACCATTTCATAATCCAACAATCCACCATTTTATTAAAGATGAAAATACATACATTTAAAAAGAAAAAGCATAAAAATAACTTGGAGCTATAGTGCATATTAGTTATCTATCTCTAAAATCTCAAGGAAAATTAATGTTAAAATATAAACAAATTGTAACTTTAATAAAAAAAAACTACAAGTAAAACAAAAACTTCTTAATAAGTGTTAGTTTTTTTTTTTTTAATTCGTAAAAAAAATGTATTATACATATTATTTTTTTTTTTGATAGAATTAGTATTAACTATTAAGTTAAAAAAATAAGTATTTTCGGTATAAGAAAATTATTTTGAATGACCTCATCCAAAGAAATTACATCCATGTCAAAATATAAGTGATGAACTGATGAACAACAAGCGTGGTAACTGTGGCTGGATCGGCGGTAGCCGGTAGAGGTGAGAAAAAGTTCCCTGGAGATAATAAATATTCTAGGAGCTGATGTTTAATATATTAGAGGTCTAGATCTGATGCTTTCCGCAGAAAAAAATTAATTACATAGGTAGCGTTTTATTATTGTAGAAGTTATAGAAGATTGTGTGTCTATATGTGAACCATAATGAATGCATATAATACAACAATTATCATTATATATTTATAATGTATTAAGTAAAAATATTATTTTATTAAGTATAAATAATATTGTATAAACTTAATGGTTTATTAATCAAAACCTATAGATAACATAGTAATCAAGTCATTGACGATTAGTCTGCTAAGAATATTTAATGTATATCATAGACTAACCAAAAAATACTCAAAGATTTTAAGATGAACATTAGTGATTCCGATAACGTTTAAATGTACTCTTAACATTTAGCATACTTATTTATTCATTGCGAATCTTATAATACAATTTCAAAATTCAGCTATACTTCTTGAAAAATATAAATTGTTTTTGTTACAGCTTCCAAACATTGCAGTTTTGAAATGCATTTTTGAAAAAGTGTGAGTATACTTAATTATAGAATTCAATAATTTCTAATTTTGAGATGCTGATGGAATATTTAATTCAATATGATATATGTAATAATTTATAATTTTAAATTCTAGTAAAATCAATAGAAACGTTTTATTAGTTTTACAATTATTATTAATATTATTACTTGGTTAGTTTGACAACGAGAGTTTTGATAGTTTGTTTTCTCTTGTTGGAGAAAATAAAAAATTCTGCAAGATATTTAATTATGATTGTAATGTTGTTGTCACAAATTATGCAATCAAAAAATTTATTTTACTCTATTATTAAATATTATAATTCAAACTACTATTTTAGCTATTGAGTGATATTTATTTTATATATTTATCAATAATTAAATTAGACATTAAAGTCGAGGAGCTTAAACATTTAATGCAATGCTTATTAAAAGTCTTTATTAAATCAATAAATACATATCAAATTAAGAATGACATATTAATTTTTAATGAACGTTCGAAATTTAAGCTTTGACGAAATTGGAATTCAAAATATAGAACACAACGATTTTTATATTATCATTGTGAAAGAGATTTAAAGCATAGAAACTTGAAACATATACAATAACATTAATGGGAAGATTAAATTTATTGTGAGGTTAGTTAAACATAAATAGCTTAAAATTAATCTAAATATAATATTTTGAAACACATTATAAATAGTAAAAATAGTATAAAATGTAATGGTGGGAAGTGTTAAGTTCTGCTACTTGAATGTCAATACACTAATTAAAGAGTCTTGAAAAATGTTCTTGTATTTTAAATTTCAAACGCTTAAAATAAAAAATAAATATAATTCAAAAATGCCAACATCTATATTTGCTCATAAATAACTAACATACTTTGAAAATTATACCATAACGGYATTTCTAAAAATTACTTTTATAAATACTTGGTGATCAATTCTCACAGTTAAAAAATTGGAATTATGACAATAAAACAAAATTGAATATGTCAATAACTGGTTTTTGTTTCTTCCTTCCGTTATTCCGTATTTTTAATATTTTCTTCATCAAAGTATCATTATTTGGATCCAATTTACTACCAGAAATCAATCACTTTTGAAGTTAAAGATTGAATTATTTTACTGATCCTAAATATTGCGTAAGACAAACACATCACATCATCGTTCCTCTTGGAATCTAAAAATGTGATAATTTTATCACAGCTGATGTGAGCCATGCTCTTCTGCTAATATATCTCATGTAGTGATTGAATTACGAATTMATTTTCTATACCATTATATAACAACAATTTTTAAAGAATGCTGTAGGCTYTACTATAACTATCAAATATTAATATTAGTTAGAAATTATGTAAACTATCTTAACTTAATTTATATAGGCAATGTCATTTCAGTAAGTTGTATAATAGTGGCTATGCAATTGTAAATTGTAATACACTAATACTATTTTAATTTTAAAGACAGTCTGTGCTTCGCCTCGTGTKTGCGTCTAGTCAAATATATTTATAATTTCCGCCATTGACCAATGAAAAACTTATTTTTTTGAATTTCAGTTAGAACAATTTATGGATGAATTGTGTATAATATTTTAAAACCTTGAGTTATAAAAACTAGTCATTAAGTGTGCTTGTAATGCAATAGTTATAAAATATGTAACCATAATAGTTCAAGGTTATTATTTAACAATAAATTGAGTTATAAATAATTTGGCTGTAGAAAAATAGCTTGTAGAAAAAAAAATTGTTTTTAATATCTTTTCTAAAGAGCATCAATTATTGATAACAATTCCTAATAAATATGTTGGTACATGTGTTATGCATTGTCAAAATGTCAAATATGACTAGGTAATAATATGCATTTCTACTTAGAACAGATAATTTAATGATTACCAGTGACTAATTGTTAATATTTGTTGTAAACGTTTCTTGTTTCTTGCCTACTAATAAGTAAATTATTACATAATATTAATACATCTTAATGAATCTTACATATAATACGTTTCTATGTTAAAACGCTTTATTTAGGATAGTTAATAAGTTTAAAATTAATGAATGGAGATTGCGAAACCTACTACCTAGTGTTACAAGTTAAAATTGTATTGAATAATGTAACAATTTGATGCTATAATATTTTTTTTTGTGAATTATATCTGAATAGGTACCTATACACATTCTATACATCTGTATAGTTATACCTAAGTACTTAAAATGTATTATACTTGATTAAAAAAAAATAACTTAAACGATGTTAAACTCATTTAGGTATTATTCTATAGAGTATACACAGATGGTGCCTATAGATAATGATTATTTTCTTCAATAAAAAATATTTAAGTGCTATAAAAATTTAGTGAAATATTGTTATAACCGTTTGCATTTAAAAAATAGTTATTTCGTAAAAAGCAACCTTTTTATTGATTCTTGATTAGAGTTCTATATTTAATTAATATTTAATAGGTATGTATTAACTATTTGATTGTCTAGGATGTAAATACCGATAATATTAACTATCAATTATGGAGCACAAAGATCAAAGCAAATACGGTTATCTTCATCCATACAAAAATTATAACTTAAGGAGTAGATATGGTACGCAAAGAGCGGACAGTGTCAATTCTAAAAGCCGTCAAGAACCGGTAGGAAGAAAACATTTTGGATTCAAGCATCTGGAAGAGTTGAGCAAAAAAGAACCGTCGGATATTGTTTTGGTGATATGTAATCAATCCAACGGTTTCATAGATTTATTTAAACAAAATAAAGAYCCAGATTGGTTGTTCCTGCTTATGAAGATCACTGCGAAGATTTGTAACACCGAGTATTTGGTGAGCAAGCAGTCCATATTAACTGAAATATGTTTGAACTCAGTATTTATTGAACATTTGAAGTCATATATTCTCACTACTCCCACTGAAGTAAACAAAAACAGGCAGCTGAATTTAGAAGTGTTTTTTGAAAATTGTTTAATAGTCTGTCAGTCTATTACAGACTTATTTCTGAAAACCGCCGCTGAACGTTTAAGCAACCTAATTATTTGTATAAGAATGGTTCTGTACGACATAAAACTCAACTGTCTTGATCTTAAAATAAATGATATCATGTTATTGGACAAAATAGCAAAAATATTACAACAATTTACAAGCCTAAAATCAGACAATAAAACAAAAGATGACAATAAAAATGAACTTCAAAACGCTACACCACCAGAGGATTTTCGAGTACTATCTGTTTATCCTACTCCATTTGACATGAATTACCAAAGACCTTTTTTACGTCCTAACATTACAAAGGGAGCTTATCAGAGTGTAGAACATTATTTAGACGTACAGTTTCGTCTTTTACGTGAAGATTTTATTGCACCGCTTCGTGAGGGGATTAAGTGTTATAAAGAAAATAATACAAATCGTAACGAAAGACCGAAAAGAATTAATAATATTCGGATATATCACAACGTTCGTTTTAACGTAGAAAAAATATTTGTACAAGATAAATTGGGATATTTAATAAATTTCAATAAAAACAATAAATTGAAAATCAACTGGGACATTTCCAAACGATTAATGTATGGGTCACTATTGTTATTTACTGTGAATGAATTCAATGATTTTTTTATTGGTACTGTATTGGGACGTGATAAAAAATATTTGGAAAATGGTCAATTAATTGTAGAATTGATTGGCGACATACAGTCAGATATCATTACATCATCGTTTACCATGGTCGAGAGTGAAGTGTATTTTGAACCATATAAATGTGCCATGCAAGTTCTTCAAAACTTAAACGGTAATAATTTTCCGATGGAAAAATATATTATTTCAGCCGGTAATAAAATAGAAAATCCTAATTACTTAAAATCTTTATCTGTAAAAATGTTCAATTTCAATGACGAGGAACCATTTAATGTTTTAAACGATACTGAATGGCCCACACGAGAAAAATTAGGATTAGACGAAATGCAATATAAAGCCTTCAAAGCAGCGTTAACTAATGAATTTACGATCATACAAGGGCCACCTGGTACCGGGAAGACATTTATTGGGTTGATGATAATCGAAACATTTATTAAAAATTTGTACTGTTTGGAACAGTCAAATAAATTAAAAAATCCAATAATAATCGTATGTTATACTAATCACGCCTTAGATCAATTTATGGAAGGTATATTAAAATTCACAAACAATGTTGTTAGAATTGGTGGCCAGACGAAATCGAATATAGTAAAAGACTATACGTTGAAGAATGTAACAAAAACCTATAGAAAATCGTATAATATATTTAAAACCATTAAGAGTGCAACTGATGAAATAAAAACTATAGAACATGATATAACGTATCTAAAAAATTGTAAAAAATTCATTTCTGAAAATGCTGGTATTTTAGAATTATCACTATTGAAAAATGGAATGCCAATAATGCATCAAAATTTCTTTTCCAGTCCAATGAAGTATATTTGTTGGCTATTTTCTGATCACGATTATTTTGATTTTGATCCGGTTGAATTGATTATTGAGCATTGTAACTCTGAAAAAACTTTAGCAGTTGAAAATATTATTGAAATAGATGATGAAAATTTATATTATGAAAACGATGATCCGGACATGATTTTTGAACGTCGTGATATTATTATTTACAGTCTTACTTTAAAAACTGTAAAAGAACTCTGTGATAAAGCTATTAACATGCTAAAAGACTTAAAACCAAAAAGAATGAAATATCGATATAACAATCGCTATTACTCTAATAACAATGATTACAATTTACGTTACCAAGAATTAGAAAACATTTGTTATAGAATGGAAAAAATTCACAATTATATCAATCAAATGTTAAACTTAGCTGATAATAATATTAATTCATATTTCTGGAATACGATTCCGGAAGACCTTTTTAAACTAAGAATGAGAAATAGATGGTTATTATATTTTCACTGGGTGCAAACTACTAAAAATATGTTTGATCCTAAAATACTAAGTCTTGAAAAAAAATATTATCATCAACACAAACAATATTTAGAATTAAAGGAAATGGAAAATATTGAAATCTTAAAGAAAAAGCATATTATTGCAATGACTACAACAGGAGCATCTAAGCATAGGGTATTGCTTGAAGGACTGCAGTCTCCGATTGGTAATATTTAAAGTTATTGAATATTTTAAATTATATGGTCCAATATTTAATAAAAATTTTCAGTGGTTGTTGAAGAAGCAGCTGAAGTATTGGAGGCACACATCATCGCATCTTTGACTAGACATTGTCAACATTTAATACTTATAGGTAAAGTATGGGACTATCATACATTTATCATACAAAGTGTAACAGATATAACTGACTTTTGGACTAACTTTTTTCACATTAATATTTTTTATTTATTTATTTATTTATTTTTTGTCCATTAATTGAACCTAGCACCACATGTATAATACATTTTTTATGTTTTATTTTTTAGAACTGAAAATAAAAAAAATTAATTTAATAAAAAAAAGTTTTGGATAAATTCAAAATAGCCTGTTTGTGAATCTGATTATAAAAACAATTTTGATGGTAAAAAGATTTATCTAAGTCAAGTAGTTTATTTTTTAGAATTTTTTTTAAAATTCAATATTTTTTTGGTTAAATTAATTTGGCATGCAATAACTTTTAAAAAAATATGATTTTTGAGAATTTGCTGACATGAGTATATTTCTTAAATTATTTATTTATCATATAATATTTAAAAAATTTGTCATACGATGAATTTGCATGATTTTTTTTTTTTTTGCCAGGTCTTTCTGTTACACCCTGTATATAGGACACAAGAGGTACYTAGAATTGGTTTATTTGTATTTAATTTTTAACTAGAATGCTTTTACGACTTATAGGTGATCACAAACAATTACGTCCTAGTACTGCAGTCTATAAACTGGCTAAAGAATTCCACTTCGACATTTCCTTGTTTGAACGTATGGTAAATAATGACGTGCCATACTACGCATTAGCCGAACAGCATAGAATGCGACCAGAAGTGTCGTCTTTGATAACACCAGTAATTTATCCCAACCTGTTAAACCACATTTCAGTACTCAACAGACCACATATACGTGGTGTCACCAAAGACATATTTTTCCTCAACCATACTAACTTTGAAACTGAGGTATTTTTAATGTTCACTACATAACGTGCAAATTTAAGGATAATATGTGATTAATTGTTCAAATTGTTGTTATAATAAAATTACACTTCATACCTAAAGACTATAGTTATAATTTGTATACACCTTTAGGTCGAGGAAATATCAAGCAAGAGTAATGACCACGAAGCGTCATTTTTAATTATGTTTGCTAGGCATTTAATACTACAAGACTACAGGCCCGAACAAGTGACAATTTTGACTACCTATAGCGGTCAAATGTTTAAATTGCGTTCAGTAAGTATAACATACCTACATAGTGTTTATTGAATACTGATACATATCAATATTTTAATTTTGCAATAACATTCGTCATTTAAAAAACATTTAATTTTCAAATTAGCATAATGTGTATGTTTAATGCTGGGTCTAGGAGAGAGGGGACAAGTAGGGATCATAGGTAATAGAGCACATAGGCTCTAGGTTTTACGGGTGCAGCCACTGCAGCCTTGGCTGCATCTGATATTTCAGCCGCCGCAAAAATTTTACCATGGGGTTATATAATAATTAGCAAATGGAAATAAAATATAACATTGTAACATATAAATTACAATTTTTCATTGGAAATTCTGCCTATGCCAAATTTGAAAAATTATCATTAGGTTATATTCATAGTAAAGTGACCTATAGAGTCTTGGCCGAAGGCCTTAGCAACCTATATAACTAATTATTAGTATTTCTTTTTTCTGTAAAAAAATTTTAATTTGTATAAATTTCAAGACTTCTCCCTCCCCCCTTTAAATTTTAACATATGGCTGCACCTGAGATTCATTCTTGGAGCCGCCTATGATAGAGCATTACATTAATGAAAAAATTCAATAATATAATGTTTCAACTGCTATTGTAACAAAACAACAAAAGGGTCGTATTAATTTTCAAGCTTTTTAACACAACAAAATAAAATTTCATTAACATTTATAGAAAAACTAAAAAAAAAAAATTAAAATCATATACCTACGTCCAAAAACGAGCAAAACGATCAAAATATTTTGAAAATTTTAGAAGYTTATAAAATAATAAAATACACATATAATGAAAATTTCAAGAACACGGTTATTCGTTTTTGAATTACAACAAAATAAGAAAATTACGCCATGTGAAATCGACTTATATCCGATGTTGTAAAATGTATATACAGTAGAACCTCGATTATCCGGACATCCGTTATACGAACCTTCTATTATCCGAGCTATAATTAGTGTATCCGAACGTGAAAACTCGTATCCTGGCGATATTATATTAATCATAATCATAAATATTTAACTACAAAAATAATTAATAATTAATACATAATTATAATTTTTTTAATTTTATATTTCCAATATACGAACTTAGCGTATCCGAACTAGGTGTGGTCCCAATTAGTTCGGATAATCGAGGTTCTATAATCTATACTGTATAATTAAAAAAAAAAYATCATTGTAAAATCAATCGTTCCGCTAAGAATCTATAAAACAAAAAAGACATGGGACTAATTGAAGAATTATTTTAAATGGATTAMATAAAGAAAATTTTTAATTTGTTAATATTTTTATTTTCAGTTACAAAAAAAATATTCAAATTTAGATGGTATGAAAATTCAAGTAGTTGATAACTATCAAGGTGAAGAAAATGATATTATATTGCTGTCGTTAGTGAGAAGTAATGAAAGCGGTAATGTGGGTTTTTTGAAAATCGAAAATCGAATATGTGTAGCTCTATCTAGAGCGAAGAATGGTTTATACATAATAGGAAATATGGAAAATCTATACAACTCGGGTAATTTATGGAAAGAAATAAAACAAAAATTTGTCGATCAAGATTCGTTTGGTAAATATTAAAATATAATATAATATAATATAATATAATATACACGCATTTTGAAATGTTTTATTTAAAATAGATCTGTTAAATCTCATATTTTACATATTATTTTGTAATGTATCATATTTATTAATAGGCAATGAATTAACTTTGAAATGTGAAGTTCATCGTGATGCTTTAACWAAAGTTTCAAAATGTGAGGATTTTAATCCAATTTTAGAAGGTGGGTGTTCCATGATTTGCAATGATTTGATGAAATGTGGTCATTACTGTTCAAGCATATGTCATGTCTATGATCGCGAACATAAAACTTTCATAAAATGCCAACAACCATGTAATAGGTAAATGCATATCATAATAATATTAATAAATTAATAATTAATAATTAATAATTTTATAATATTAATGTATTCATAATAGCTTGAAATTAGTGTAAATACATTTTGATGATTTCGGTTTTAAAAAATTATTATTACATCTCGGTTTTGGTTTGTTCTTAATAAAGAAAAGTTAAATGTTGTTTTTATTTCACAATAATTACATTGGTTAAAAATCTTAAAATTGTTTTTAGGAGTTGACATTTTTTCAATATAATTTTAACCAAATATTTCTATACCTACTCAAAAATATGCAATAGGTACAACATAATGTTATGAAATTATACATTTAACAAACTTTAATTTTTAATATATTTTAAATATACACTTTTAAATACTCTCATTAATTTATTTTTTGTAGTTCATGTTTAAAAAATGTAAGGGCATAAATACTACAGGTGTTTTAAGATTTTATATGGAAACATACATCCAACGACTAAAATTGAACGCAAAACGATTTCTAAGAAAAAGTGATTGAAAAAATGATTATTTTGTATTAGTTATTCTTAATGTGTTAAAAAAATAAAACTATAGTTTCAAGATCTGGATTTATGTGTGATGATGATGGTGATTAAAAAAAATTGATAGCAATTCGGATTTTTTCTATAATATAAAAGTTAAAGTAGCTGGTACACATTTAAGATATTAAATTTATATCATTAACTTTACTTATCTATTATTACGTTAATAACATAGTTGGTAATATTCTTATAAATATTATTGTTACACATAAGGGTAAGTAATAACTTTTGGGTAGGGTGAATCGGTAATAATACGTATAATAATCTAATTCAAATACATACAATAATCCAATAGTTTTATCAACATTTAATACTTAGGTATTTTAAAAGTATGATTCAAATTACCATAATTAATTTTAATTATTTAATAGATAATTGATTTTATTATTGTATGATATTTTAACATTTCAAGTCTATAAAATTTGATACCTATCTCAGGGCTTGTGAAAATAACCATCCTTGTGAGAAAAAGTGTGCTGAAAACTGCGGACAATGTATGGTATATATGGTTAAGCCATTACCGTGTGGTCATGAAACCTCACTGCCTTGTTATGTTGACCCTAAACAATTCAAATGCATGGAAGAGGTTTGTCCACATATTTTATTACAAAATTGTTATTAATAGATTAGTAAATAAAGTTCTTAATTTTAATGATTTTCATCGAATACATTAATGTGTTCCTTGTGATCATAATCATTACAAATATTACCAACTGTAGGCCGCGGACCGTAAATACTTTAAAGACTATATGTATTTTAAAAATGATTATTTCTAAATTAAAATCACTTATGCTTTTGAACAGGTGGAGTTTTTGTTGGAAACGTGTGGGCATAAAACAATCAAAAAGTGTTACGATAAGCAACCTAAATGTAAAGATAAATGTATTTATCGATTACAATGTGGACATTCCTGTGTGCTTAATTGTCACAAGGATAACGACCCGACACACGAAAAAGTAAATCATTGTTTTTTTTTAAGTCATAACTATAATATATATACTTTGTGATTGCTAATGTTTTCTGATGTTGTATATTTTTATATTTTATCGCTAAAATTATTTTTAGTATACATGCTTTAAACCATGTTCAAAACTGAATAAAAATTGTTCTCAAAATCACAAATGTCTGAAAAAATGTTACGAAGAATGTTCAAATTGTGTAGTAAAGGTTGACAAATTATTGGAATGTGGACATTTAAAAAAGCTTGTAAACTGTAGCGATGACATAAAAAATATCCAGTGCTCGAAACACCTCCCGTGTAATCGCATATTAGAATGTGGTCACAAATGTCGACTAATGTGCTATGAGAAATGCAAGGAATGCAAAGTTATYGTAAGTTGTTACAMACTGAAATATACTAAATGCAATAAATTATTGTAATTTTTTTTTAAAATAATGACTTTATTTAGATCACAAAAACACACCCGGAATGTGGACATAAGAGTAAAATAGAATGCCAAATAAATCCTGAAAGAAATGTCATCTGCTCTAAAAAATGCACGCGTACAATGAGTTGTGGACATAAATGCAAATACAGATGTGGAAATGATTGTGATCCCAAAAAATGTAAAGAACTGGTATTGAAAGAGGGAAAGCTCGCATGCGGTCACAGTAAGATGTGGGTTTATTGTAGCGACGTAGATAAAGGTAACTTATACTCGTATTATATTATATTTGTAACTCATTGATTAAACTCTAAATTGATGCAAAAAACAATCTAATAATTTCTTTTTTCAAAACTAATTACTAAAGATCAATTTATTCAACTGATTGTAAATCAATTTGAAAAATATAATACAAACAATAGTCATAGGTGGAACTATGACCTAGCCACTCGGATTCTGTCCCAAATTACTCAAGTCCATGGTATATGTTTAAATGTTTTATATTATATACATTATACGTTTATAAATAATACATTTAAAGATACTAATCACAATCACTAATATCTATTTTATATAGGTACTATATAAAATAATATATATATATATAAAGAATAGTAATATAATAATATATGATGAAAAACATGAAATACATTCAGTGAAGCTGAAAGCTGAACCCTGTATTTAGTTCACAGCCTAACTATTTTTTTTTTTTTTAATTTGAACGGAGGCCAATTAATTAAGGTTTAAAATTAATAATACTAAAATATGTATGGTTAGTGGTTACTTAATGCAAAAGCCATAAGGGATAAATCTATAGTAGTTCATACATAGTGTGGTTTCTAGTATATATATTTCTTGTATACATATTATATACATAATTACTGATATGTATATATATAAATATATTGGCGCATAGCTGTATTATAGTTATAGATCTTCATGTACGTTACTCAAATTAAATTACTTGTAATAACTATGAATGAATTGGCTCCTCAATATCTCCTTTGGAAGTTAAACAAATTTAACATTCACCAATAGTTTTTCTTAGCAAAGTAAGAATGTACACTTGAAACCGCATGATGAAAGGCTTGGAGCCATTATATTTTCATTTAGCCTGAGTTCACTTTTARTAATAATGCAGCTCCGTAACATACTTTGAATAATACCTACTTACACATAAATATATTACACGTTTGTTTTTAGAATTTGATAGTAGCAGTCAGTATGTCCTCGACAAATGCAATGAGCCTTGTTTGAAAATGTTATCATGTGGTGATTTGTGTTCTGGTACTTGTGGAAAATGTAAGCAGGGGCGACTGCACGTACCGTGCAAAGAAATGTGTAACAAAATTAATCCTTGCAATCACACGTGCGTGTATACTGTACAATGTATTCTACATATTCAATATATATTCACATATTAATCATATAATATTGTACAATTTCTAGAATTCTAAATAATTGACCGTTGTTGATTTTGTATATTTGTTTATGTATATAGATGCAATTATCCATGCAAAAAAGCGTGTCCTCCGTGCGAAAAAAAATGTGCTTACACTTGTACACATTCTGAATGTCCACTTCCGTGTAGTGTTCCGTGCGTACCATGCCAGGTATGGTCTATGAGGTTCTTCTSAGTATATACATTTTATATTCTTTTTTAGCAACAATAATTGCACGTATTGTTCTGCCTTTTACAATATTATGTAATTATATATAAAATATAACTTCAAACTATGTATAAAAAAATTAATCTCCATAATATAACTTTTTTCATTTATATTTCATCGCGCATAATACGGTTGTTCCCTGCCGTGTTTTCTCATTATCTCACTTGTCAGCTTTATATCTATGTAACATTGAATGTTCTATATTCTAGACAAAAAAAAACACTTTCATGTATATACGTATAGAGTATAGAACAATATATATATWTTTTTTTTTTATCTAATTAAAGTGTTTCTGACATACAAGGTCATCAAACTTATTGTTATAATAAAGAATTTTTAACATCATTAAGTTGTTAAGCGTAAATTAATTACAATATAACAATATATATATATCATCCATGATCCATGCTGTACATAATATATGTGTTACATATTATGTTTGATAATATAACATTTTAGAAATTCATCAACAATTTTTGAATTATTATTATTAATTATTTTATTGTAATCATTTTGATCAGGAACCGTGTGTTTGGAAATGTAAACATTTTAAGTGCACCAAAGTATGCAGCGACGATTGTGATCGGCCGCCTTGCTACGAACCGTGTCCTAAAAAATTGAAATGCAAACACAAGTGCATTGGATTTTGTGGTGAAACATGTCCTCCTCTTTGTCGCGTATGCAATAAGGCGGAAGTAACAAATATTCTATTTGGTCACGAAGACGAACCAGATGCAAGGCATGTATACAATACCTAAAATATTTTATTATGTTATTATTATCATATTATTCAGTGATAGAAATCTTATAAACGTAGTTTACTATAAATAAATTGAAACAAATTAACACGATCACGTTGTAAAAACATGAATGATCTGTATTCTCACTAAATTWGTACTCCAAATTGAATTAAGAGGATCAATATTCGATGATGATTACAACTCATAGGGCACTAAGGTATTACTATTATACTGCAGTCTAGTCGTCGCCACTCGCCGTATTTCGTGTTGTCCATTACAGCGCATTATACCAAACAGTTGAAAATATTCGAAACTACTTCAACGCCGTGGGTTAGGTGCAGATTATTTAAATGTAGTTATTAATGAGTACAGACCTAACCTTAATGAAATCAGATTTTGACCTAAACAAATATTATTTAATTCGATGAATAACAATCAAATTTCGAACATAAACCAAGCGGTTACAGAGAATAATAGAGCATTTATTTAATAATTATTATTTTTATTATAAATTGCCTAGTCATCGGCTGTATTTTATTTACCTACTATTATAATATATCATTTAAATTTATATGAGTTACATTTGTCGCGCAGGTTCGTTTATCTGGAAGACTGTAAACACACGGTTGAGTCCAAAGGTCTGGAACAGTGGATTAATCAGAACAGCGAAGAGATAGCCCTTAAACAGTGTCCTGTGTGCAAGATGTCCATTCTGAAAACGCTTAGGTTCAAGAACCACGTGAAAGCTGTGCAGAAGGACATCTGTGAGATCGTGACCAAACTCAGCGGCAACCGCGATCTGTTAGCCATCAGCGAGAAGAAGGAGGCCCTCAAGCTGTTAGTGAAGACATTGAACCATTCCTTCAAGGACGTCGAAAAGACGAGCGAGCGGTTCGCGGACGTGAAAAAACTATGGGACCGCTCGTCGGAGCAACTGTTGCAGCGCATGCGCAGGATCGTGTTGGGCGCCGAGCCCACCATCGACCTCGACTCGTGGACGTCCACCGTCCAACTCGCCGAATCGTTCTTTGCATACGAGAAGCGCATCCGGGATTTGGCTGTCGGCGGCGCGAAGGACGCTGTGGTCGGCCACTTTGTCTGGCTGCTGACCGCGATAGTCGTGTATGCGGGCCGTCTGTCCAGGCAGCAGGCGGCCGACATCAACACGGAAATGATCCGCGGCGCCAGGCTAGTGGACCTGGCCGAGGTGAAGACCAACGCCGACTATATGCGATTGCATGCCCCATCGTCGTCCATAGATTTGGTGATGAGCGTGGATGCCTTGTTGACGGCTGCCAAGCCATATGATCAGGACACGGACGACGAGGTGGAACGACTCTACGGTCAGGTGCGGGAGGCCATTAAGAATCTGAAGGCAGCGAACGCCGCCGATCGGAAGATGATTCACAAGGCAATGGCGGTGAGCTTCCACGGAAGGGCTCAAGGCCACTGGCTCAAGTGCGTCAATGGCCACATCTACTGCGTGACCGAGTGCGGTGGACCAATGGTGCAGGCCAAGTGTCCGGAATGCAACGTGGACATCGGTGGCGTCAACCACAGATACGTCGAGGGCACGACGGTGGCAACGGAAATGGATGGCTCTACACATGTAGCATGGAGCGAGGCCAACAACATGAACAATTTTGTTTTGAACTGATCACACGAACGTTTTTTTTTTTTTTTTATTGTATATTTCGACAAGCGTCTGGCTTCTGGCGCTCTTTATTAAATACCGAGAAAACGTACATCGGCATTGCTGCTCCTAAATTGCCTATCCATAATACCGTGTTATATTTTTAATATTATTACGTCGGCGCTACAACTATGTCAATTATAATAATATATCTCTATTAAGGTGTCTTAATGTGTTATATGTAATATGTATAGAAATGCATAATATCATTTATAAATATAAAATAATCTTTTAAATTAATTATAATTCGTATAAATGATTAGATCACTTAACATCCTGACGACACTTGATTGTATGATTTAGTACTAAAATAGTGATGGTTAAACATGAATAAATATTTATCTTATTCAAAAACAATATTAATAAATCTAATAATAATAGTATAGAATGTCTGAATAATTTATTAAAAATTATGTACTTTAAACTAATTTTAGATTTTCCATAACTATATAGCACAAATAATGAGTATACGTTATGGTTATTTTTATCAACGCRTAAAAATATTATTATATTTTACGACTCATTTTTTGCAAATTATGAATATATTATATAATATATTCTAAACTATTACAAACTATATAGTTAAAACATATATGACAGGTTTGGTTTTTTGTGGGCATACTTTTTTTAATATATTTTTTGAGCTCTGTAAAATTCAAACTATTAATGTGATTGCATATTATATTGTTCACTGTTCAATACACTTGTCGCATTGACTTCAATATTATCCGCTCTAACAATAACGAGAACAAAACCAATTTTCCGCGTATTATAATTCATATTTACATACGAAATAACCTTTTTGACGCTTACGATGTTATATTTCATACCCTCAAATGATCATAAATCGAAAAATGGGACTATATATATATAAACTTATTATAACATACCTATTCGTGCGGCTCTCGTCTCTGACAACGATTATAAGTCATAACTATTTCATATCATTATGGAAAAAATATATTTCTAGGGGTTTTACGGGACGCAGGTGTGGCCTAACGGATGTATAAGCGCGAGAGAATGACATTTTTAAGGGAGGCTTCTAATTTTGATTTATGAATAAAATAAAAATAGCATATTGCAGGTAAGCCGCGTGCAAGTGGGACGAACTGAGTTAAATCGGTCTTTCGGTCTTGTGTCAAAAGCTATATATGACCTCTAAACCTCTAAACTTAAAAACATTTGAACAGTGTACGCGGTGGACCCTTCGAGAATATARGTTTTGTTCATTGTCAACCGTTAATATTTTATACAGCACGTATACGTATTAATTAATGATTATTATTATTATATCTATGTATATACTGTATAGAAATACTCTCATTAAATGTAAATCAATATCACTCGTTTAAGTATACATATATTATAATATAATATATACGTTATGCCGTGGATTGTATAAAATGTGCAGAGGCGAAAACTTAATCAATTTATTAATTATTTACACGTGTACACTGTACATACGGTTCAATCTCGACGATTCCGTTTGATTTTGATGTGTTTGATTTCCGGTTGGTGGTGACGCCGCGACGTGTCCGTCCGTACACGTTGTCAATTTCGAAAACTTTTTTTACGGCTGGAAATAAAATACAAAAATGTTTTTTGTCGTTTTTCACGGTTATTTCGTGATCCCAGCGGGGAGCATGTGCATCGCTTCCGATAAAATGTGCGTCTGTTATATTATTTAAAATAATTATTTTACGATTATCGTGTAGTGTGCAGAGTATATATATAAATACATATAGGTGAATAGGTACCTATATATAGTATATATATATTATATATAGTGTTCGACTTTCGGGCATTATTATTAAGGTCATAAAAAAAGCGTGCTACCGCCCGCCGAGACAACAAGCGTGTGTGCTAAAATAATATGATAATATCCGTCCAACGTGCTATAGGAGCTCATTATAGGTATTATTCTCTTTATAGCGATTTCCATTGATTATGTTTTCATCGTTTTCGTTTGTGGAAGTTTGTATTTATATTATTTTACGCGCAGACGTCACGGCCTTTTCGTAGTCCATATAACTTTACGACATAATAATGTACCTATGCCTACCAAGGTTGCGAACCAGTTCAAAAAAAAAAAAAAAATGTTTGATTGACGTTTCATTTGGAGCAACGATATAAAATATGAATAGATCATAGATACATAATAATATAATAATAYTAAATAGTATAATATTACTAAATAATAACGTAGGGTGAAATGAAGCACCGCCGCCTAGGAAAATGCACTCAATCAAGTGCGCTTTCAGGATAAATCCCAACTGAGGTAAAATACATTTTTTTTTTTGTTATCATGATTCAAATGCAATTTGTATTCTGAAAACATTTTGTAAACTGCATATATAGTCGACATATTGGTATGCCATAATAATATACGCGATATCATAAATCATATGTGGTTTAGAAGAAAAGAAATAGGTAGGGCGACTGCCSCTTTGGCCACCCCCTGCAGGCGCTCTTTAACACTGCAATAGTTAAACATGTAAAGTACCTATAAATATTGTATTATTTTGTATTTAACAAAAAATGTGGCCTAAAAAATGAGCTACCAAGAACATACCAAACATTTGACTATCAAACTTCGATCAAACATATTATTAGAGAATGCAGATATACACAAGAAGAGGCACGCCAAAAATTCGACATAACCATCTKCCCTGGTTACCTTTACCATGCATTAGACACCAACGAAGTTTCCATTAAAAACTTTAACTATATTTATGAAAGATATAATTAAATTGTACGATTATTTAATTTAAGTAAATGTAATACAAGCCAATAATGGTCCTGTTATCGAGGCTTCAATTTAAATTTAAAATAAGTATAMATTTAAAAAGCGAAAATGGTCTAATTTTAAGTTAAGAGAACATTATAATATTAATGAAATGATTATTATAGGTATTATGATATTATATTAATTATAAAATTGTATTGTTWCACGCCTATTAGTTTATTTATTATTTAACAACTCATCATTTGTATCATTAAATAATTCGTGGTATTTTTGGGGGACAAGAATATCGAATATTTTTCTATATAGAGTCTAAAAACTCTGTCTATACTTTACGTAAACTATAGCTGGCATAAGCGATGGGCTCTAAAGGATTATGACTCTATRAGTCAAAAACCCAAARAGAAGATAATATCAAATGGATATGTTTTTTTATTATACCTACCTCTATGAAAGTCGTTATAGGTAAATATAACATCGCGGAGACTGATTTTAACGATTTTTATACAAACACGCGGTGCGTACATTATACCTAATGTATATATATTATTACCATGGTATATATTATTATAAAGGAGTAAAATCGTTATGTAT